TATGAGTACACCCTGGAGATCCTGAGTTCTGCTGCAACGTGCTGGGCTTTCACATCTCCTTTATCTCAGAGGGCTATCGACATCTGCAGCCTCCTTGGAAGAGATAGCAAATTGAGGGGGCAGCTCCAACTCACAAACTACTGATGCAGTCTGCCTTTTTATTCTTTGCACATCTTCCTGCAGCTTGATTGATGTGCCTTTCATCAGGAAAGAGAAAAAGGAGGATGCATCTTCTGGGAAATAGGCAGTTTTGTGACTAAGGAAGTACTTCCTTCTGGTTCAGAGAAAGAGGCATCAGTGAAGGAAGGAAATCTTTCTCCCATGTGTCCAAGTCAACTCTCAGGAACCACATGAGCTATGACTTACAAAACTGCATTCTTTGGGTTTTAGCATTGAGAATTTAATTAATGCCTAAAATGTACAAACTCCATGTAGTGAGTGTTAGTTATGTCCATTAAAAGCCTCTAAGTCTTCATGAAGAACAAATTTTTACAAATTGCCAATGTCCTGTATTAATTTAACGAATACACATCTCTGTTTCCATGCTTATCCACACACCAGGTTCTCGGTGCAGGCTGTAGTTTATTCCCAGTTATTATCACGTAGTACACACATAATACATATTTTTGCAGGCCACTGTCCAGCCAAATTGTCAGATTTTCCTTTGGAGAACAAAAAAATAGTGAGTTGGTCTTCAAAATACAATCACTCTGTACATCTACTGGCACTCAACACCCTGAGTACCTGGAACAGCAGATGCTATCTGCTCCCAGTGCTCCATCCACAAAAATACAGCATTGCCCTGCCCGAAATACTGCCAGCAGTCTCTCAGTAGGGTCACTTCTTCTTTGCTGGAGCTTTGGCATTCCCACCAGCTTTGCCATTAGCTTTGGAACTTCCTTCTGATTTTGCTGCTTCACCTTCTTTTTCACCTTTCTTTCCACCACCTTGTTTCTTGTCATTATTGCCTTTTTCTCCCTTTTCTCCCTTTTCTCCCTTTTCTCCTTTTTCTCCTTTTTCTCCATCTTTTTTCTTGGCATCCTTCCCTTCTTTCTTGGATCCGTCTTTCTGGTCCTTCTCACCATCCTTCTTCTTGGATGCATCTTTCTTACCCTGAGCCTTGTCCACTTTTCCGGAGACAGTAGGAACTTCTTCCTTTTTTTCTTCTGCTACCTGAGCTGTATGTGAGGATGGATAAAGAAAATAAAAAGGCAGTTAAATTGGAGTGATAGCAGATGTGAAGAAGGTAAAACTTTTGCACCCCACTTGCAAATCCTGGACAAAAGAAAAACACTGTTGCTTTGTCCCTACAATTGTTTCCCTCACTGGCTAGCAGCTTTTCATGCCTTTGTTTTGAGCAGATAGACTAGTGGGGTGAAGCAGAACTGATAATTTCAAGAGCAGAGTTGTGGCTTTGTTGGAAGAAATAACTGGTCAGATCTGGTCCCTGCACTTCAGAAGGACAGCCCATAAGCATTTCCCAATAAAAGCATTCAATGCAGAGCAGTCTCCTTCCAGGCAAAGGAACACAAACCTCTCTGATGTAATTAAGTACAACTCTGTTTTTCATTTCTTTTTGTTTCTTTGATGGGTTGGGGTTTTGCTTTTTGCTTTTTTTATTATCATTATTTTGTTTTATTTTGTTTTGCTTGTTTGATTGTATTTTTGCTTTGCTTTGTTGGTCGGATTTCTGCATAGGGTGTGAATCCTGTAGCTGAGAATGGGCAGCAGACACTGCTGGGGTTCTCTGCTCTCAGAGACAGTCAAACAGAAGACAAGATGCTCAGCACAGGGCTACAAAGTAGGATCTTCTTATGTCCTGTCCAGATTTGCACCATGGGACTGGTTTCCTAACTGCACCACTGCAATTAATGGTAAAAACATACTATGGGAACATAACAACTAGCTCTTATACAGAGCTGTTCTGGTGTGTTTTAACACACCATCCATAGTAGTTGTAGTATGCTGATAATACCTTTACTTATGGAATGTCTTTACTTAGGAATACCTTGGATTCAGTACCCACAGACAAATGGGTCTGCAGACAAATTATCCTGCCAAAGAATATAGACTTAATTCTTTTTACTTCTAATAGAAGTGTTTTATTTTCTCAAAAGTATTTCTGAGCTCAGAACTTGATGCACTGAATTCTCCTTTCAAGCTGCAATACAATGCTCAAACACAGATCAATTTTTCCTTTGCTCATGACCAGCAAGGTATACAGTTAAAAATAAAAAAAAAAAAAACAGGCAAAAATGTGTTAAGTTTCCCATTATCTCCTTTCCTGAAAAGCCCCATTGTAGGACTCAGGTGTATAAATAAACAACCATGTTAACACAATTATCCAGCTTAGCCAAGATGTCAGAATGATCTGGCCATGACCAGGAGGATTACTGGTCAGCCTGGTCAGCTTTCTTCAGCTGACACTTAGGATAAGATGCCGAGGAAAGGTGGCAGTGAACTGGATCAGGAGGCAATTTGGTGAAGAGTGAACCTTTGGTGAGATGTCTCAATCCTTACGTGGAGCCAAGCAGCCCCAGCCTTCCCCGCTATGGATATCTGCAGAGTCATTTCCAGGTGACAGCAGTGTAAAATAAGGAGGAATAAAACCTGCATTTATAATGTTTACCAAAAGTATTCTTTCTGATTGCACACTGATATAAAATGTTATCCTTTGATCTTGGAAATTGGTAATTGATTTGTACATACAGATGGAAGTGAAACAGTGAAGACTTTTTCTTACAACCAAGGAGGAAATCCAGACATCTCGTATGAAAAGAAAGGAGAAAAGAAAACAACAATAAACAAACATACAAGAAAACCACAAAACTGACCAACCAACCAACTAAAGCCAACAAAATCAACACTGCTTGCTTCCTGGAGAAATGTGTTAGGAACCAGATAAACTCCCCAAAAAGTCAGCTTAGCTGCTCTGAGCCAGGAAACTTGAAGATTTCCCAAGTCATGGACCCAGATTGTGCATCTCAACTCACAGCAACGGCTCAGTTCTGCTTGTACTCCTCCCACAGACTGTGAGACAGGGCAAGATAAACTGTTTCTAACATTTTATGCACTGAAACCTAAAGTCTGTTTTCTTTTATGTCCATATAAAGGGCTTGCCACATACAACACTCAGAAAAGTGCATGGAGAGAAATTTGGCAGCTACAAGAATCCATCACAGAGTCAAATGATGCCAAGAAATGAGAGTATTTAAGCATTGTAATATATTCATGATTAATAGCATTTGACAATTACAGAAAGCTTCACAGCATTTAAAGGCCATTCAGTAATTAAAATCATTCAGGTTGTCTCTTTGGCCTCGACTGGGTCTACTGGGAACTGTCACAGTGAAAGTATATATATAGTCAGTGAACACATACATTATACTTCATGACTACATAAATCAAGGTGGGCTGCCAAATGCCAATGGAGCAACATGGGAGTCCATAGCACTCTGTACAGACAGGAATAAAAATAACAGTAGCACAGAGATGAAGCCTGAAGGTTTGCATACGTTGCATTGTAATGCCTAAATCACAAAATGAAAACCTTCTGAGGTCACGATCCACACTGATCTCAGAAGGAGGCCAGACTTGTGGGTTCGATCACATGTGGCTTTTGTGACTACCATTTCAGCATCGACAGATGAGTCAGTCCATTTGGGTCTCCAAGACTGAAAACATACAGGCATTTTTAAGGCACAATTTACCTATTTCACTTTAGCACCTCCTTTACTGTGAAAGGAATCAAATCCTTTTTGTTTTCACTGTGAACCATAGAATGGTTTGGGCTGGAAGAGAACTTAAAGATCACCCAGTTCCAATCCTTGCTATGGGCTGGATGCACCCACCAGATCAGGCTGCCCAGGGCCCCATCCAACCTGGACTTGAATGCCTCCAAAGGGGCATCCACAGTTTGTCTGGGCAACCTGTTCCAGTTCTTCACCACTCTCTGAAGGAATAATGTCTCAAATTGATGAAGACTTCTCCACAGATGTGTATAACATAACTGTGGATGGATGGAGCCCTCCTCAGTCCCATCTCCTTCAGGGCATATTTGTATCTGCCCACAGAGGACCAAAAGGCTCAGAGCACATGTATTTAGGAGCTGTAACTGGACCTCAGCAGCCTCTCACCAACACGTTATCCACTTGATTCCTACCCTGCACTATGCCGGGACAGACCATAGCTCTGAGATTCTCACAAAGTCAAAGTGTGGTCAACTACTCATACATTTCATGGGATAAAGGCTGTATGGTGCAGGTAACTTCTAATAAATTGCCTTCTTATGATGATTTATTCGTGATACAGTAGTTTACTCTGGTCAAACTAAATATACACTACACATTGGTGTGTTGAGAGTGCTGCTTAGAGGAGATCCAAAAGTATGTGGTGAAACTGTCATTCTGCTGCCCAAAAGCCCTCTCTGTCTCTTTGGGATATTTCAACTCTGAATTTATAGGTTTTCTAGAATTAACAGCTAGGCAGAAAGAGGATGTAGCAGATGAATGAGTTTGGCTTTCTGCTGTCTATATGCATTAGCCTTCATATTCTGTGGAATCTTAGGACAGAATCAGAATTTGGTATTTTGGCCAGGAAATCAAAGGATACAATATTAAGTAATTCCACATGTGATTTCTTATATATATATGTATTCTTATATATATATATATATGTATATGAGTGTTAAGTAGACCTTGGGGTGGCCTTTGATTTGGAAGTACCTTAATTTAACAGCATAGGCAAGGGTTTATTTATGCCAACTGTGATCAGTTCAAGACAGCAGTCTGGCCATCTTCAGTTTATGGTGTTGGCATAGTCAGGTGACTGAACACTGAGGTATGTGTAAGTGCTTACTATTAAGCACGTTTCTGTGTTTTGCTGGTGTAGGACTAAATTCACACAATTATGTTTTCTACCTCTTTCATCATTTTCATGAATTGAAACATAATGCTGTGAGCTAAAGAAACTAAAGGTTTCTACACAGCTGCAGACCACAATGCTTGCAGAGACACAGCAAACAGAACAAAAAAATAAAGATTTTCATTAAAAGTTACTGTGAAAACAGAGGTGAAATGCAGAAAGGGAACTGAGAAGCAGAGAGTCCAAGACTTGGTGCATTCTCATAGGAAGCCATGGAAAAGAGAAGCCATAGACAGAGACAGACAGGAAGGCAGTCCCCTAATTTCCTTGTAGGGCCATTTCATCTTCTTCTTTCAGCACAGGCAGGGAGTTGAGAGGTCTGGACTGGACATGACCAGAGAGAGTTGGGAGAGTTTCAGTAGAGCCTAGGGTACAGAATCAGGAAAGGAGAGTGAGAGAAGCAGAGACCAGTGACAGAAATACTGTTGGCCATCCAAATAGGGCAAACAGTTTCTGGGCAGTGTGAATTTTAGTTTTTTCTTCCTACTGACATATACCTCCAACCCAGAAATTGTCCCTTAAAAGGGAACAGATTCTTTGGAATTTTTAAACATGAAGTGCAAAGGATTAACCTTGACTTATTCTATTGGAGAAACTGTCCCCTTCATCTGAATGATTGTATCTGCTGCCACATATGCTACAGGTTTAGAATAGTGCATGTGAACAGAAGGGACTTACCAATCATGGCAATATCTTCATGGCTATGCTTAAGAAGCCACACTGACTTATACGTAGGGATGACCTAACCCTTTCCATTCATGCATATAGCAAACAACCCCAAAAGAAGAGACAGGTCTTATGTGTAGTTGAGGGCATGCAAATTACCTCCAGGGATCTCTGTCAGCTCATTGAGTGGTGGCACAGTCTCCAGTTTGTCTGCATATGTCTTGGCTGCTTGTCGTTGAGCATATCGTGCCTCAATCTCTTTCCTTGTCCGGGGAATCCGGCACTTGAAGATACAGCACAGGGTAATAACTAGGAAAGGAGAAAGAGAAGCAAGAACATTCATCTTAGATGAGCAGATCTCTGCTTAGCACTGGTTTCTATAAGTGAGAACCTGGAATCATTTACATCAGTGGAAGTATCCATCTGAGGAACAGAGTCGCACACAGTTTGAAGCAATTTGGTTATCTGAAAATAAAGAACTCATACTCTTCAGCTGAATTATAGTAAAGATAAAAGAAAGAATATATCTAGGAAGATATATTTTTCATTCTCAAATCTACACATTACTTCAGAATTTCCATCTGCAAATCTTACCATGTTTCAGGCAATTCATTAAAATGAAATAGCTTTGTTGCCTAGACTAGGACTTTGTTAGCTTGATCAAATAACTGATTCCATGTATAACATCTGAAAACAACAAAGCAGAACTTTAGGGAAAAAGGTAATGAGGCTTTGAAACTAGTAACCATGCAATTACTTGTCCCATAGCTTTGCTCCATGTAAAGAAGCACGAGACCTCATGGGCAACATGAATCTTCGAGTTGCTCTTTCCTGACCACCTTTATAAGTGGAAGTTCAATGTAAGTTTACCCATTCAAGCTATCTGAAATGCTTAAACTTATTTATATGCCTGGTAGAAACAAATTCTGCTGAGGGGCAGAAACTTGTGAGTAGAAAAATGTTGTATGGTCAGTTTTACATGCTCTGCCTCTTACCTTAACTGGAGTCCTCTAATGCTGCATCAACTCTATGAGAAAATAGCAGGCATCCAACTTTCTACATATTTCATCAGTCTAGTCACTTGTTCTGGCTTTCTATTTCTGTCACAAGCAAAGGATCAGACTTTTGGGACTAATTCAAGGAAAAGCCAAAAATAATTGGTAATGTTTGGTTCCAAGTGTGAGATTTTCTCATTCACCAGGAGTAAAATCCTTGTGCAGACTCTGCACAACACCATCATGTACACCATTTCTTTGGTGTCAATTTCTATCCTAGAAGTTTGCCCTGTGCCAATCCAGCCTCTCCTAAGCAGAGGATCATGTTAACCAGGAACAACATCTGCACAATGTCTTCATATAGTAGAAGAGAAAAGGAAAGAAGAAAAGCATCATTCTTAGTGCTTTAGTTGAGATTTGTATGAAGTTACCACACGAAGTGAAGCAGGTCCACGATCCCTTTTTGCAGTTTAAGCAGTTTGCTGTGCAGACTCTGTACTGGAATCACATTCAGGGACACATCACTAAACATCACTACAGGGTGAGACGCCTGGTGCTCCAGTGAATTGCCAAGAACAACATGACACTGCAATAACCTGCAATTAGGGAAGCAATCAAGATGCTTTTATCCCTGGTCTTCCACAAGGGTGAGCAGCAAGCTGAGAGCAACACAGCTTTGGCATGTCTCACAGGAGAGCAAGGCACCCGTAAGGTGTTACTGGCACAACTTTGGCAGCTTGCAGTGGGTAATGTGAGCACATGGGGAAGGCATATGGATGGGTCTGCACTGATTTTCAGGGCTGTTTCCCCATGCACCTGACCGGAGAGCCAAACCACACTGCAAACAATGGGTGGCACAGCCCTCCTCATGCTGGCAGACAAAAAACCACCCCCAGCAGTGGGGCAAAGACAAGCCAGGCATAAGCATGCATTTGAACAGTGACAGAAAGCAGGGAAGCAATTTATTGAAAGGAGTGGGGTGTGTGCTTTTTCTCTACCGGCTTTTAAATCGGGATCCATTGTTTTCCTAAAAGCATTCTGCATTTCAGCTGAGCTGGGAAATCCTCTCCTAGCACTCAAGAAAACTAGCACCACATTTCCTAGGGACTGATAAATGCTGAGATTGTCAGCTTTCAAGTAAAGCACGGGAAGATGACTTTCAATGCCCTTGAAAGTCAAGAAGCCTGCTGCTATCCCAGCAGTTGGCTTAGCCCTGTGGGAAGGAGTAGGGGTTGTTGTATCCCCCAAAGATCCACTTCTTCTAAATTACTAAGGACAAAAGTGGTTGTTGCTCAATGGCAATCATGAGCTGGACTCTGTTTAACTTTCTGATGAAGTGCTGTACTGAGGTATTAGGGATTTATGTTGTTTTGGAGCATGAAATGATTCATAACCAGCCACTAGAGCAAGAGGGTTATGGTAAAATAACAGAGTGCTATTTTTTCTCTTCATCTCCCTTGCAAGTTAAGTTCAGTGTGTGGCTCAAGGACATGCAGAGGAATAAGTGATGAACTGAATGTCATTATCTTTTACAACAATAGGCAAGTGCATAAGATTTTGGTACAGAGTGCCTTAGGACACTGAGACTGATGCCAGGAATACTCTGAGGGTTTTGGCTGACAGCTGAGCCAGCAGTGTGCCCAGGTGGCCAAGAAGGCCAGCAAGCATTCTGGCTTCTGTCAGCAATAGCATAGCCAGCAAGACCAGGTGATCATCCCTCTGTTCTGGCACTGGTGAGCACTGAGGTGCTGTGTTTGGTGTTGAGCCCCTCACTACAAGAAGACACTGAGGCCCTCGAGTGTGTCCAGAGAAGGACAGAATAGCTGTGAGGGGTTTGGAGCACAAGTCTGATTTTGGACTTTGTGATCTTAAAGGTCTTTTCCAGCCCTAATGATTCTATGATTCTACAAATGATCATTTCATCTCTAATGGGAAATTACTGCCTGCTGGATTTCTTTGCTTTTCCATTCAGGTTAGACAGGAGGCTGTGGAATTCACCTCCCCTGGCTGGCATGTCCCGAAGATAAATGTGAAGATCAGTTGCTTTAAACTGTCTTTTTTACTGATGGAGACAAAGAAATATCTTTACAGGATGATTGATCTTGTAGTAAGAAATATATTTAATGCAGGTCTGATAACTCATCCTGTGCACCTGCATTTCTGCTGTTAAATACAAACAGAGCTTGGTGTTGACCATCTACCTCTGAGAGCTGTGATCGCCTGAAGCAAGAGCCAGAGGCCAGACAGTGTAAACAGAGATTTACACGGAGGCATACAAATTATCCCTTCGGAAGAGGTGAATCTCATCCTTTGGAACGAAAGAGTGAAATTCTCATCCCACATCAGAAGTTTGGAGCCACCTTAGTATCACGTGAGGATTCTTTATAATGAGGATTGCTGTTTAAAAATATCCATTCCCGTAAGATAACATCAAGAATTGGATTGCACTCTCTTCCATGAGAACATCAAAGTAATCCTCTTACAAAAGCTCAGTACATGTCATGGCATCAGCTGAGCCCATTAACTGATGGGCCCATGCTCTCAGGGTAGACGAATTACCATATAAAACACCACGTAAAACCTGCACTAGGGTAAGGTGTGCAATGGAAGTAGCTTCAAGATTTTCTTTGAGATAAGAATGGGTACAGAAATCTGCAACTCAGTTGAACAGTGATAACCCGATTGGAAATAATGATCACAAATAAATAATGATCACTTTTTAATCCGAGTCCATAAGATGAGGCAACTGGGGGACTCATTAAGCTTGGATGTGATTGAGAACATGTTGTTTTGCTGTTCTTCTGCCAAGCAGAATACTGACTTGAAGCCTTGAATGTTTGTTAATCAAATGCTTTAATGATGCTGCTATCAAACAATATGAACAAAACAACATGAAGCCTCATTCTTTCATGTTGTCCTTTTCTTTTCCAGGATTTCAGTTTTCATTTCAACATTTGAAGAAGGCTGTGAAGCCTTCGGAAAAGCACCCTAAGTCAATTACTGTCTTAACGTCTGTCTGATGCTTCGATGAGCTGAAAGCAATCTGCCTGAGATGCATTAGGTCCAGAAGGATTACCCAGTATAAAGGTACAGGCAAGGTACTGGATATCCAGTATAAAGCTTGAAGCAGTGACATCATTCATTGTTTCTTTATTGTCAAACTACAAGACGCAAAAGAATCATAGAATCATAAAATGGCCTGTGTTGAAAAGGACCACAAAGCTCATCCAGTTCCAACCCCCTGCTGTGTGCAGGTCACCAACCAGCAGCCCAGGCTGCCCAGAGCCACATCCAGCCTGGCCTTGAATGCCTGCAGGGATGGGGCATCCACAGCCTCCTTGGGCAACCTGTTCCAGTGCCTTATCACCCTCTGTATGAAAAACTTCCTGCTAATATCCAATCTAAACCTCCTCTTTCTTAGTTTAAAACCATTCCCCCTTGTCCTATCACTACCCACCCTCATAAAGAAGAGACAACCTGTGCTACAAAACATAGTGGGGTCATTTTCAATCCTCTCTGTTGCAGACGGAGAAGAAAGAGCAGTGAGGATACAGGGGAGAAGGAACAGCAGAAGGTGAATACTAATGCAGAAGAAAGAGGAATGAGTATAGATAAAACAGCAGAAGACCAGTGCAGATGCAAGGTCCCTATGGGTCTCTTTATGGGGTCTCTCTCTGAGTTTCTATGGATATCTTTATTAAAAAATAAACGGTCCTGTGGTAATCACCATCCTCCATTCAGTGCAAATTTAAAACACGAGCTTTCTCTTTTCTAGTAACAAGCTCTGGATTGCTTTGCTTTTCATCTTCTAAAAATTATTTTCCCATCTTTTGTTCTTGTTTTCCTCCTTTTCAGTTACCTGACTTCAGCCACCTGTTTTTGAAGCAACAACGATGTTCTGAATTAGGAAGTCCGTTCTGATCCTGCACACTGTGTTTTCTTACCACTGTGATGATTCAAGCTGACAATCCATCAAACCATTTTTCATTGCTTTTGTCAGCTTGATCATGCAAAATGTAGCTTTTCAAGAAGGAAATGTGTATTTTGTGGTCCTTTATGAAACGGATATTTTGAAGTCAACCCTTTGTGAGCTGTGATGGCAAAGGAAACGTTGTTATTGATATATTTTCTTTCTTCAGCAAATACTAAAAAACTCTGATTGGGGAAATAATAGACTATCTCAAGCTAGAAGGGACCCATAAGGATCACTGAGTGCAGCTCCTAATAACGAGCAACTCTGAGACTTGACCCTTTGTCGATTTTTTGCCGTATTTCCATTAAACTTGACAGGGGTCAATGTCTTCCTAACTATTA